ATATGCATACGCGTGAAAAATCATTTTGTCACGCATCGTTGTATACTGATGTGAACGACGGCACAGCGATCGCAAATGTTTGCATATGTATATTATAAAATGATTTTTTTAATGAATAATGAACTCGCAATGAACAATGCGTCATATGCTCTTAACTTCCTATTGAGGTTTCTGTATCTTAAAATCGATATATTTTTATATACATAATAGTAGATTGGATTAAACCATGAAATATTATTAATTAGAATAAATAGAAAATGCATTAATAGGAACGTATTTGAGAATATAAAATAAACGACGAAAGATGTGAAGTCGAAGTTACCCGAGAAAATAAGGATAAGGATCGATAAGGATCGATAAATGATAATACAGTAAAATCATAATATTGTGTTGAAAAATAAGTCATAAAATAAGTTTACACTGAGTGTAAGTCTATACTGAAGTAATTTATATAGATGAGGAACTTGGAAATATTGGATTAACTGAATGGATGTAATAGCAGTGAAAGGTTCTCCAACAAAATATTTCTACATTCATCCGGATTACATCTCGTGTACTTTTTCTCTTAAACTCTCTGTACTATATATCTGTATACAGAGTGTCCAGTAGAAGCTGATTCTATGCGAAAAATTGAGTCGAAAAGAAAGAATGAAATTTTTTCGTTGAGCCTTTGTTTCTGAGAAAATTTGAATCAAGTTTGAAAATTTATCAAGTACACTTAAAACAATCTATTATAAAAATGCATCGTTCGTTTTGTTAAATACTTCTAGGGCAGAGAATGATTCTTCGTAAAAAAATAATAAAAAAATATGGAATAAAATTTTTTGATTTAATTGATTTAACACTTCGTTTTTGAGAAAGCCCAGTTTGAAGATCTATTAAGTACATTTGAAGTTCGTTAACTCTACACGTGACGAAAAAGAGTAATCAACAGAAGGTTATTCTAAAAAGTAAAGAATGTGGAGTACAACTTTTTTGCAAGATGCTTCATTCTCAAGGGAATCGAAACATATTCAAACTTTATTTCTCTGAAAAGCTTTAAATGAAAGAATCTTATTCTACATTTTTGACTCATCTTGCAGACTGATCTCCTTTTCTGTTCTGCGTTTGGAATTAGTCAAATACTTGATTTTCTCGCAAAGCAAAGTATCTTACAACAAAGTTTTATTTTTCATCTTTGATTCATTTTCTCACGTTCAGAATCGCCTGTTACTTGAGTTGTACCGCTCATTCCGAGACAACCTGTATATGTGCACAGAGAATATACAAAGGCATATATTGCATACCGTTCATTCGACTCTTTACCGTTTCCCCTACCTGGGAGAATCGGTCGGGTCTCAAGTCAGGCTGGTATCTTGAGCGTAGGTAACCCCGTTACGTCCTTGCTTGCGAATCCAGCAAAACGTGTGTCTCGTTCTCTCGTCTTTCCTTTCTTTTGCCTTGATTGAAATTTCTCATAGTTACAGTTAACGTGCCGTACATTCTCCAACACTTTGATAACTTATTCGGATTTTTCGAATTAGTCTTCGAAGCGGTCGAACCTTCCCCTTACTTGCATTCATCTCCTCTCCGAGAATGAAGGGAATACGAAGCAAGTGAAGTCTAGTCGGCTCGGATCGGATTAGATCGGATCAGATCGGATCGTGAGAAAACTCGAACCACGAGAAAACCCGTTGCCGGAATAGAGGAAGGATCTTTGCGTCTTCTGGATAAACAAACGGTGAAATCGTAGAACTTGAAGTGTGCAAAGAAGAAACCCGGCCAACTGAGCGGCCGTGGTTAAATGGCAAAGCGATGAAGCGGAATTGTTAGTGATTTCGATCGATCGTTTCAGTTGCACCGATTGTGATGTCCTGTTGAAGTAATCGGCGATAGGTGCGGTGCGAAATAGCGAATATGAGTAGAACGTGAGTTGTTGCTCCTTTTATGTGACGATTTTATAATATTGTCGTGACGTATTTATGCGAGTGGTGAATTTGCAGAGACTGGGAAGATTGGGAAAGCAACGTTTGTGATGCGATATAAAAATTGAGTAGATTTTTTTCGAGTAGTTAGCATGGGGAGTGTTACGCATTGATCTAGTCGGATGTTGTAGCTGTAGACGAAGAGTCTGACGCATAAAATTCTTTTGAGGTCGCGCGCGCCTTCTCCAGTCGTTTCATCTTTAAACCTGTTTCCCTGCGCGTAATCGCGCGCGATACGGTCGACGTGGTAATTTTGATTCATGCTACGTGCCGGTATTTCGCCATGCTAAATTTGAATCCGTCATTTTTCGTCGTGGCAAATCTGAATTTAAATTTAAAATTGGAATATACGGAGGTGGAGATTGATTTCGTGTAACTTTGAATTGTAAAATTGAACGATTCGGGCTTGATCGAGAGCAAAGAACGAAGTCACCGTTATACACATACATACGTAGACATAGACCATACCGTGTTCCAGCGAAGTTGATCTTGCTTCTGTTACTACCATCTCGCCTTTTACACTATTCTCTCTCTCTCTCGTTCTCGTTCTCGTTCTCGTTACACTCTTCTTTCTTTTTCGCTGCGAATTAATTAGAGAAACTAGGATAAAGAAAGGAACAAGGGTAATTAACTGGCACGGCTTATCATTTTCAGGTGGTATTTACCAATAATTATTTGTTCGTTCTGGAACGTGGCTCTGACACGGGAAGCGGAATGGATACCGTGTGTCGAATTGAAACGGGACTTGCACGTCCCGTGCAAATGCTCTATCTCGAGGGAATATACTCGATCGATCGAGATGAACTGCGATCGAGTAGTGTTTACGCGGAACACGGTGGAGAATCTAAAGGGTGAGCCGATCGTTTCGATGAGTCAGAGGGACAGCGGTTATAACACACTGCCGGAGGATTTGCTCAAATCCGATTTGAATCTGAGGAAGTTGGATCTATCGGACAATACGATTCACAAACTGATGGGCCGGCTGCTTCGAGTGCAGACTCAATTGGAGGAACTGAGGCTTGCCGGCAATCTCCTGGGTGACAATCTAAACCCGATATTCTCGAGCAACGAGTTCCACGGTATGGAGCAATTGAAGCTGCTCGACTTGAGCAGAAACGGCCTTCGAAGTTTAGAGGAAGGGATTTTCAAAGGTTGCGAGAGCCTCGAACAGCTTTACTTGGACGGCAACAATTTGACAACTGTACCGACCATGTCTTTGAAAGGGCTCGGATCGATCAGAGTGCTCTCGCTGTCCGGCAATAATATCGGTACGCAAAGAAAGAGCGAGCATGAGAAAGACAGTAACTCGGCTATTTATTCGACGAAGAAAATAGCCGATAACGACGACGATTTTGTTTAGTTCTACTTTCCAGGATCCCTCCCACGAGCCGCTTTCTCGATGTTGGGTGACTCGCTGCTGCGATTAGATCTCAGCGAGAATGAATTGTCTCACATGGAAGACGACGCACTCTCGGGGCTCGAACGATTACTTTTGCTGAATATATCTCGCAACGATCTCAATCGCTTTAACAGCGACGTTTTCAAAGGTACGGAAGTTGCGTGGTTTTAGGGGGCCTCGTAAATTCCGTGAGAACGAATGGAAATGTACAATTGCTGTTTAATGTTTTCAGGGGCTTACAATTTATTACAGTTGGATCTGTCGACAAATTTTCTACGGGAATTCCCGAGCGATGCACTGAGACATTTGACGGACTTGAAGTTTCTCAATATATCGAACAATTTGATTGACGTGAGTATTATTTCATACAGAAGAGAAGAAGAAGAAGAAAAAAAAGATAGAAGGAGAAAGGAGACGACGTTGAAGTGATTTTCTTCTTTAGGTGATTGATCATGGACATTTATCATCCTTGAGAGAACTCCAAGTGCTGGATCTTAGCCGAAACAACATCGGTCGGCTAGGTTTCGGTACGTTTTCGAAGTTATCCGAATTGATTAGACTCGACTTAAGCCTGAACGCATTACGCACGGTACGTACGAGGAAATAAGAAAGATGAGACAGAAGTGAGTGAGATAGAAAGAGAAGAACTAAATCGAAACCGAATCAAATCTGTTACAGATTGACGAATCGTCGTTCAGTGGTTTAACCAAATTAAAATGGCTCTCGTTGCAAGACAACAACATCTTGCTAGTACCAGCCGTGGCTCTGACTAGATTACCGTCTTTGGCTCATCTTCATATGGAATTTAATCGAGTCGCTGCTCTGCCGATCGAGTTAATCGAAGCGACAGCCTCGAATCTCGTAACGTTGTCGCTCACTCGGAATCTAGTCCGAGAGATACCCGCTGGCCTGTTCCAGGATTTTCAACGGCTGGTCAGCATCGAGTTATCCGGGAACATGCTGTCGAAAATCACGCGCGACACGTTCGCCGGACTGGAAGAAACGCTGCTCGAGTTGGACGTGTCCTCGAACAGGTTAACCTCGATCGGCGAGCTTCCTCTAAGGCGGCTGATCTCGCTGAATCTGTCGGGAAATCGGCTAACCAGAATTTCTCCGGAAACGTTTGGTCACCTGAAGAGAGTCCGATATCTAAATCTGAGCTCGAATCCGCTTTACGGTGGCTTCCCTCCGGTGTTCCCCTCTTCCGTGCTCGATCTCGACATTTCACGCACGGATCTAAACATCTTGCCGTCGATTTTATTTCGAAATCTCGAGTCGCTCGAGAGTGTATCGATCGCCGGCAATCGGTTGGAAAGAATCGAGTCAGGCACGTTTAACCGGTTGGTCAATCTCTCGCGGATCAACTTGGCCGGGAATCGCATCGAACATATCGAGAACGAAGCTTTCGTAGGATTGAC